GGGGCACTTACTTTTTTTTTTTTTTTTTTTTTTTTTTTTTAACCCCACTTCAAGCACTGGTGGGTGCAATAATATTATCCTCATCTGCAGAGGCAATGTGACTTTGTATATTTGTGTTGAGATTTTGTATTTTAGTGAGTTTCATTCTATTCCATTCGCAAATCAACACAATTTGATTGGTTTGGTTCTATTTTGTTTCACTTATTTAAGGTTTTTTTTTGCCATTTGCTACCTTTATATTTTAACACCTTTTAAACCACATCAAAACATACTTTCCAGAATAATAACGTTCGTTGTAATTATTCAATGAAATATCGCGATACTATCGTACATGTTTTTAATTGTATTCTTGTTTAGATCAGCTCGGAGTTTCCTCAGGGTGCCAGATGTTACCGATGTGCGAAGCTTTGAACACCGCTCTGAAGACTGCTGCGCTGAAATCAAGTGCCTTTGTGTAAAGGTCTAAGCCAATTTTAGCCTTTTCACACACCTGCATCTAACTACTGAAAGAAAGAAGTGTTCCTGAAGAGCGAGATGCGCTTTGTCCTTTGTTCCTATAAATGGCTTTTGTTGGTTTCCACGGTACTGAAGCGGATGGTAGCCAGCTCGATCCCGGATACACCACTTCCCTTCATCCCTGTGTCACAGGAAACAGGAAGCTATCTGCTTACGCTATGTCCTGTCTCTGAGGTCGCTCCTTGTACACTTCCTGTGGAGAGGAAGCATGGGAAAATTCATACGGCATGAAAGTGTGAAAATGGAAAAAAAAAAAACGATAGTACAGTATGCATGTAATGGTTTATAATTTATTTATACCACAGCACCGACGAATTCTCCATTCTGATTGGTCACGAGATTGGTCGCTTAATTTCCTTTAACAGCAGCTCTGACGATGCTTCCATCCGAAGACAAATCCCAGGTTTATATTAATGCGCTTGCTCAAATACGTTATCGTTTCTATGGTAACAACGTGCAAAAGGATTTATAGAAGGAGTCTCCAGTGTCAGCGCAGGACTGGGGGCTTTGCGTTTTTTCGCTTCTCGCTGTAATTACAAAATACAAAATGCATCTTCGTGAAGCAATTATTTGATTTGACACACAAAAGCATCAGATTACGCAATGCGAACTTGCTAAAAACGAGTAATTGATTTAGAGCTCGCTATATGAAAGCTGTAGGTGTTATTTATTTAAAGTGAGCAAATGTTAGCTACTTACTTGAAGCTATGATTTTATGAAAATGAAAATTTAGTTCGAAACAATGGAAATGAATGAATAAACAAATAGACAGGACAAGCTCTTTTTTTCACTTCGTTTTCCAGTAAAATGAGTTAAACTGGACCTCATTTTTTGTCAAGTGTTGTGGGTTTGCCTGTGATCTATCCTTTTTTTTTAGTAGAAAAGAACTTTTGATTTAAAATTCTCTCTTTGAGTGTGTGTGTGTGTGTGTAACAGAAAGAGAGAGAGAGACACACACACACAGACAAACTCACCCCCATACTTTCTTCTAGGATCCATTGAACGATCCATTCCACATTCATATTCAGAGTCAAGTGAGAGAGTGTTTCTTTGGTGTGTGACTCACTGGGTCTTTTCAGCCTGCTCTTCTTCCACTGGGATGTTTTCAGGGCTGTGCATCTGCACGTATTTGCGTTTTGTGTTTGTTGGCAGAGATGCCAGTCTTTCTGTAGTCAAAATCCCGAATCCTTAAGTCTTTATTGCGGATATTGAGAATGGCACACACACACACACACTTACATTAATTAATGTCACTAATCATGTTCGTTAATGTTATAAAATCCTCACTGACATGTCTGCTGCTTGCGTCAGTCTTTAAACGATCTACCAGTATCAGTATCGATCATGGAAACGTGCACATTCTGCATGCAAATGACTCCGCTATAGTTACACCCTGACCACGCCCCCTTTTTTAAAAAAATGAGCGTCTCTTGCGTATTGTGCATGCTGTAAATACCTAGACTTTGTGAAGTCTTTCAATTCCATTTCACTTCTGTCTTCAACAACAATTTGATGATTTTCAAGTAGACATTGCATACACTGCCAAAAAAATACAATTCAGTACCTTGAATGAAGTCGAAATTGAGCTAGTGTTTCCCATTATAAGATGAAAAGAAACCAAATCTAAGATTATAAAGCCTATTTCTATTCCCAATTTTACTAAGTTCAAGCTTGACATAGTCTTGTTCTACTGGCAGACAGTTTCGCAAATATTTAGCATTTATTTTTAGCATTTAAAATAACGTAAAGCCCTTGTCTAGAAATACAGTAGGTATAATAATCTTATATTTGGTTTGTTGCAATCATAAAATAGGAAATGCTACATAAATTCGACTACATTTTAAAAAGAAATGTTTTTTTTGGAGCAAGAATAATTGTATGGCGATTTGTATTGTCTGTTTCCTTTCAAAGATTTTCAGAGCTATGTCAGCGTACTAACTAGCTAACCAGCAAGCTTGTTTGCTAACTATTATGCTAATTATCTATCTTGGGAACTGACTAGAAGCATGTGGAGTAGCCGGCTACATAAAACGCAAAGATCAGAACAGCACCACCACTGGTCGTAAGAAATGTCCACTGAATGGTATGAAGAAGCAAGGCTGGGGCTGGATTCTTTCTAGCCCATACTGTAGATTTCATGCAGCTTAGACATCCATTCTAATAGATCTGATCTCCATTTAGGCTCATATTTTTTTCGCGCACATCATGTCATCAGCTGCGATTGAGAAGGCGCAGGTGAAATACACTCACAGGTTTAAGTGGATTATCTACTCTATTATCATTTTTTCCCCCAAATTCCTTTGGCAGAGAAACTAAAAGTTGACAGGCTAAGCACACATTGTCCAATCAAAATACAACGTACGCAGTAGGACTGACGACAGAACCATAAGTTTCATGGAGTTTTTTGTTTTGTTTTGTAATGAAATTGTTACAACTTTTCTGTTTAGCATATTTGGTATTGTCAAGCTACTCTTCAATATTTAGCTCTCCTATCTAATATAATGAGTATTCTGTCGTTCATATATTCATTCATAAAATTTCATCAAGATTTTGATCTTTTGAAAAACAAACTGCAGTGAATTGCAATGCTTTCTGGGAAAGTTTTGTTCCTCAAGTTCCTGGAGTTGATCCCTCAGGTGAACACTGAATGGATGGTTCCTCTTGGCTTATTGTCCATCAGGTTAGGTGTCACCCTCTGACGCTAAACACATGAGCTCTCTCCCTCTGTGTGTGTGTGTGTGTGTGTGTGTGTGTATCCGTATCCTGCTGGAATGATTCAGGAAACCATGGCAACGGCACACACTGAGGGCTGTCCCAGATATGTGACAGTGTTGCTTCCTATGATCTCATAACAAAAAACCCGAACAATGCCTGAGTGGGAGAGAACTCACTGTATGTTTCCTGATTTCATAAAACAGTAACATTTATGAATGCCAAGGTTAAGAATAATGTTAAGATCGGACACAGCTGCAGTTTCTCCAAGAAGCCAATGAATAAAACAGCATTCTAGTTCAGTAGCCATTCCGTTCAAACTGAATATGTGAACATGATTTCTTTTAGTTTCCTGAAACCCTGAACTGCAAGTTGTTGAAAAAAAAGTGCTGTTGTTATTTCAACATCTCATTTTTTTTTTCCATTTCAAAATATTATGTCTTTATTTTGAGTTATCTCGTTATTTCAAGACATTATATATTTATTCTGAGGTAAAACCTATTATTATAACTCAATATGTAGTTAACATATTTTTTGTTATTTCTTGTTATTTTAATATCTCAGGATTATCTCATTATTTTAACATATTATCTCATTATCGCAACTTAATATTTAACACCTCAATCTAGCAGTAAGACTAATTCATTCATTCATTATTAGCTTATAGTAATAATAATTCTTATTCCATATGTTATCCTGGCCAGGGTCAGATAGTATGTAAGCCAGAGGTTGCTTTATTTAAATCGAGATATGAAGTCAAGACAATGACAACAAGAGAAGTGTTTATGGAATGCTAAGATCTGAATTGTTTCTTTTTTAATTGTAGTGTTGCCGTCTGAAGCGCCATGTTTCCTGGTTCGATCCTGAGCTCAGGTTTTTATCTGTGTAGAGTTTCACATGTTCTCCCCATGTCCATGTGGGTTGCCTCCAGGTTCTCCGGTTTCCCCCCACCTCTGAAAACATGCTGGTGGTTTGTCTGAGATAAATTGCCCCTAGATGTGAATGCGTGTGTGTGTATGTACATAGTGCCTAGTGATGAATTAGCGTCCCATCCTGCATGTAATCCCACCTCACACCCAGTGTTCCCAAGATAGGCTCCGGATCCACCGTGACCTTGACCTGTATAAAGCGCTTACTGAAGATGAATGAATTTCAAGAGAGAGAAAAAGAGAGAGGCTGGTGAGAGACCAGGACGAACCTGTGCATGGTGGAGCAATGCAACTGTGCAGCTTTTTTGTGCATCTTGCCTTAGCTGTACACATGCCAGTGAGGATGGGAAAACAGTGGACAGTTGTACTGCAGATCACTCGACCATCTCAAGGCTTATCTGACAGACTTCATTTGAGCTGATAAAGTAGCAGAACAGCCGATGTGACGGGTTCTAGCAAGGAGAAATGGCAAGGGCAAGTCAATAAAGGGTGCGTTAAATGCAGTATTGGAACACAGGGCAACCTTAAGCCACTGTGACCTTGGCTCAGGGTTGGAATGTTTAACCAAAGTGACAGTCTCCTCTATAGACAATTCACAAACACACACACAAACACAGAACACACAGCCACTGGGTGTGCAATCAGACAGGCTTTGAATTAAAGATAATATTTTCTCTGGTATCTTGATGTATGGCATATTCATGACCTGGCAAAATCAGGGACCTGAGAGAGCTAATCCTGTGAAACACCCTCTGGCCAGTAGGGGCTCAGGAGTGGTTGATGGTCTTTGAAAAATGATGCAAATATACACCAGTTTATATCAAATTTGTACTACATGTTGGTTCTTGGGTCTAGGACTAGTGGTTAGGCCACAGCGCTCTCACCACTGCGGCCCGGCTTCGAATCCTGGCCAGTGAACCAGCCCCAGCCACTGGGCGCTCTCAGTGCTGGTCCCAAGCCCGGATAAAATTGGGGAGGGTTGCGTCAGGAAGGGCATCCAGTGTAAAAACTGTGCCAAATCAAATACACGGACCAACGATCCACTGTGGCGACCCCTAACGGGAGCAGCCGAAAGAGGAACAACAACATACTACATGTGCTTGTTCTTATATGTTATAATTTCTGTAGTAACACCTTACACAAGGACTTGTATGGTGCACTTAATCTAAAGTTTATAATTAACTGATAAAAGAGTGGAAGGAGTCTCCAGCGTCAGTGCTGCGGAAGGAGTCTCCAGCGTCAGTGCTGTGGAAGGAGTCTCCAGCGTCAGTGCTATGGAAGGAGTCTCCTGCGTCGGTGCTATGGAAGGAGTCTCCAGTGTCGGTGCTATGGAAGGAGTCTCCAGTGTCAGTGCTATGGAAGGAGTCTCCAGTGTCGGTGCTATGGAAGGAGTCTCCAGTGTCGGTGCTATGGAAGGAGTCTCCAGTGTCAGTGCTATGGAAGGAGTCTCCAGTGTCAGTGCTGCGGAAGGAGTCTCCAGTGTCGGTGCTGTGGAAGGAGTCTCCAGCGTCGGTGCTGTGGAAGGAGTCTCCAGCGTCGGTGCTGTGGAAGGAGTCTCCAGCGTCGGTGCTGTGGAAGGAGTCTCCAGCGTCGGTGCTGTGGAAGGAGTCTCCAGCGTCGGTGCTGTGGAAGGAGTCTCCAGTGTCGGTGCTGTGGAAGGAGTCTCCAGCGTCGGTGCTGTGGAAGGAGTCTCCAGCGTCGGTGCTGTGGAAGGAGTCTCCAGCGTCGGTGCTGTGGAAGGAGTCTCCAGTGTCAGTGCTGAGGTCAGTAAATTTTCACCCACAGGAAATTCTTCAAGACTAAACTGACAAGCTGCATTTTTTTAAAAATTTTTTTATTTTATTAACTTCACGAGATAGCAAAAAAGACACTAGTGTGGGAAAGACTGTTCATACGTAGCTAGTATTACAACAGTGATAACAGGAACTAACTTGTTTTGTCGACATTCTGCAACATTAACTGTGATGACGTGTTGTACATGAATAACTCGAAACAATGTAATCGTTGGCTAACCTCTCTGGCATAAGAGGAATCTCAGAGTGGTAACAGTAACCCCGCTTCATCACACCACCCTGTCCTTGATTACTATTCTGCAACAGCACACTCCACAAGTGCTTTATTCCTTACCTTATTCGCACATGAATGTGTGTTTCGATTGTTTGAGTATAGAGAGCTCTTAGTGTTGGGTCCTCAGTCCTGTATTACATTTCGAGTTATGGAGCTTTTCTCAAAAGGCAAAAGGTTTCATCTGTATCTGTTGCACTCCAGTCCCCTTTGTGCAAACATTTACATTAAACACAATCCCAATTTCCTGCGGCGTGAATGAGGGATAGTGTTTAAATAACATATCATAGAGTGCAGCAAAGGAGCAGTCAGTCACTGTGCTGGATGTGTGTATATGAGCGCGTGTGTGTGTGTGTGTGTGTGTGTGTGTAAACTGAGATAAAATTAACAATGTCTCCTCTCACAAATCATCACAAATGTTTACCAGGGTCAGTGTATGAGTTACGGAGCTCTGTTGGATTCTGCTCTGAGGTTAGTACAGGGACCTGGGCTGTGTCACAAATGATGCTTGGAACACACACACACACACACACACACACACACACACACACACACACACACACACAGATTATTTTTTCTCTGTAAATGTAGCAGAATTAAGAATCTATTCTTTTTACTCACCCACCTGCCCTCACACACACACACACACACACACACACACACACACACTACAATGTTCAGTCCAGCCCACTTCCTGTGTTTTGTATCAATTTCTATGTGAATCAGAGCAAACGCTGAATTCCTTTCACTGATTTTGAAAGGTTCATTGAAATCGGACATGTTTTGGACATGAGGAAATTGTGAGATTGTGTAGCCTAGCAGAGCTTTTCAGCACAGTCAGTGTAGCCTACAAATTATTGCATTACTACAAAACCCATCAATCTCATCACCTGTCAACCAATCAGAAAAGTGTTACCTTGATATCAAGCGGTGGGAAAAAAAAACATCTTCTGTACCACTTATCCTACACAAGGTTGTGGGGTAGCCTATCCCAGGGGACTCGGGGCACAAGGTGGGGGACACCCTGTACAGGGTGCCAACCCATCGCAGGGCACAATCACACACACATTCACACGCTATGGACAATTTGGAAATACCAATGTCAGCCTACATTTGGAAACCGAAGTATCTCAGGTCAAAGTCAGAAAGTTGCTACTTTGAAATTTACTCAAGTATTAAAAAGTAAAACTAAACATTGTTCAAGCTGATAACATTCTCTGTGAAACATGACCTTTATTACTTATCTAAAACTACTGGAGGATCACTCAATCTCTGTAAGTTTGCTGGTGAGAAACAATTTGCTGTCCCTCCTATGAGCTGGCCATGCTTAATGTTCGTCACTATCTCCTACGCACACTAGCTTGGTAATGAATTAATCAGAAGTAAAATATCATGTGAATAACCAATATTTAGCATTAGCTTGAATTTGTCTCGCTTCCTAGCCAGTTAGATAATGGATTCGATGCTCTAAGAAAACAGGCTAACTTAGTTCAATATAGCTAGTTAATGTTAGCAAATTAGTTAAACGTACCTCACTCGCTCACTTTCAGTAAGTGTGTTATCCTGGCCAGGGTCAGAGTAGATTGTGAGTCTATCTCAGAAACACTGGACACACACACACATACACACATACACGCCTAGGGGAATTTTACATTCACAGAAACTCCGCACAGACAGTAAACCAAGCTCAGGACTGGACTGGGGACCTTCGAGCCGTGAGCCATATTCAGATGCACATGGATAGCTACAGCACTAACTGCATCATGTAGCATGAGAAGGTCACCACAGATGACGAATTAGCACGATTCTTGATATTTTTTTTTTTTCTCAACATTGATGAGCTCGATTGGACGCTAAACTGAAATGTAAATAACATGTGTGGGAGCCTGTTCAAATGATGTACAGCAAATATTACTGTCTTTGGTTGGAAGTGACTTTTGAGATTTGTAACTAGTACATTGAAAATGTAATTGAAAATGTAAGGAGTAAAAAGTAAGCTTGTTAAAATGTCAGCCATAAATAAAGGTGTTGCTAGCTGGCTTCATGTGTCTCACGTGTTTGGCCCATCCTCCCCTCTTGGTAGCTGTTGTGTGATTGCGGGGAGAGTTAGTAGGTGGGAATAAGCAAAACTAGGAAGAAAACATTGGGCAAAAAAAAGAAGAAGCATGTTGTGAAAACCACTAAATCGCACATGCATTGGGCCATGCATGTTTAAAAGTGATGTAACAGTGTTTATTACATATTGATTTTACTCACGCAGCGTAGAAGAGATGACTGTGGTTAATGGCTTGCTTTTCTCCCATAGACAGCTCTCTGGTCTTCATGTTGGTTTATCCTTTTTAACAACAAATGCAGTCTTCACAGCTGAAACCCAGGGCACATACCAAGAGTAGCCATTTAGAGCTATTAACTGCTTAAACAATCAATCTAACAGGGCATACCTGGGCAACAAGAAACACCTGTCAGTCAAATTTTCCAATATTTCTGATCACCTGAAAGCTGTTTAACACATCTAGAAGCCGAAACTCTGATTTCTTATCTCATATTCATCTTTTGATCCCAAACCCAAATGACTTCAATGTATAGCAAAAACAAAAGAATTGGCCTTCCTGTTCCAGTGTGCTTTCTCTATGAGACTGGGTTTTACATTTCACAGGCTTACTGAATTTCATGTTAATCTGGGGGCAAATCTGTGCTTAAATCTCCAGCGAAAGCATGCAAAAGGAAGTCTTGTAACAATTTGCATGTTATGGAAAACCACAAGCATTGCATCGCTTTGGATCACAGTAGCTGTAATTTATTTTATAAGTAGTTAAGGAGTTTACAGCCTTCCAGATGGGTACAAAAGCTGTTCGTGTTTATAGGAATGGCGTCAACTTAACCCTGCCTTCTCTTCTCATTTTCTCTCTGTGTTAGTCGCTGATAATTCTCACTGTAGCAGTCAGGAAGAGGGAGCTAACACGTGCTTTTATCAGTGATATGTGAAGTCAGTCGATGCAGCTGGTCAAGCTGTCAATCATCAGAGAACTGTATTCAGTTCTGTAAGCATTTATTTCAACCTACAAGTGGGAATATTTTTATGTACCAGTGGGGGAAAAAAAGGTTCTAATGAGTTGAGTTTAATGACTGTTCTGAAAATTCCTGATTGTAACATTTAAAATGCCCATTTTTTGGCCCAGAAAATTAATTTCCCCTTGAACATTGACATCCTCTTAAACATTACATGCCAGAGTTTGTTGCATTACCGCTCTGGTGCATATGTGCAACCGTTGTTAGAGAAATCAGCAATGTCTAGTGCCCGCAAGAAGTGTTTTAACTGCAGGAAATGTTCTTTCATCACCCTGTGTGGCTGGAAGAGAGAGAGAGAGAGAGAGAGAGAGAGAGAGAGAGAGAGAGAGTGTATGTGTGTATGTGTGTGTGTGAGTGTGTGTGTGTTTTTTATCAGGGACCAAACGTGACAATTAAAACTCTGACAATGTGCAGAAGCTATTGTTGGTGCCCGTAAGAAAACTATTAACGTGTGTGCTGGTGAGTTGCCTCTTAAAATGGCAATTGTGTAGTTTTATTAAGCGGCAGTAGAAGAAGGTTTGACATTGATGTGGTTAGTTGTGGCATTTCCCTGCACTGCCTCTGACTCTCACACACGTACTTTTTGTCTCATGATGTTGGGTGTGAACTGTATTGTGAGCTGTCCCCAGAGACGCCGGATTCACACAAAGTCAAGTGATGTCAAAATCTGTCGGCTACGTACTAAAAAAAGCACGCCAGTCATCTTCTTTTCCACTTCAGCTTCGTGTGCATATGAGCATGTGCATGCACGCTTTCTCACTTGTGAGCAGAAAACGTGAAACCTG